AAACGGACGCTGGACCAGCCCAAGCCCACCCTGCCAGCCCTCACCACCACCGTGGAGCCTGGCCAGGAGCCCCTGGGGACGGCCTGCCCAGCCCCCCTGGATTATCGGACTAGCGTCCCCAACAAGGCTACCACCGGGTGCAGCAGCCCCCCCACCTCAGTGCTTCTGTCTCCAGCTGCATCTCCCTGCCGGGACCAGGAGATGCGGACTCCTGGTGCCCAGCCCAGCCATGCTGCTGCCAAAAGGTCCCTGCGCTGCTACCGGAGACCCCGGGACTCGCCCAGCCCCTCGGCTGGCAGCTGGAGGGGTGGCCGGGGGCCGCTCTTTCAGCTCCAGTTCGGATGGAGCTAGTGAGTCCTCATCTTCATCCTCATCCTCATCCTCCCGATCCCGGTCACGGTCGTTCTCCCCACCACCCAAGCGGTGGCGAAGGTAAGTGATGGAACATCTGTCTGCTCACCCTTGGGCAATTGTCTAGTGGCTGTGTCTTTTTGTGAGAATGCCCAGACACCTGTTTATGGACCTACTTCATGGCTGTGTTTGATCTTTGTGTTCTCGAGGTCCTTCTGTAGGGGGGCCTGGCTCACAGAGACTGGGGGAGCTGCTGCGACAGCTGAGCTCCGTGTCTGGGTGGGTGTGCCTGCAGAGCCACTGCTGAGCCAGGTTTCTTTACTCCTGGAACACCACAGTTCAAGTCCTTGACTGCACCTTGGCTTTTGGATGCTTTTTCTGGAGTGTAACTGCAGGTGTTGGTGTTTGTGCTGTGGGGCTGGTGCAGCCTTCGGTGTAGAAATGAGAGGAGCAGCAGTGGAGCCCTCCAGGAAGCTGTTGGAGGCGAGCAGAGAACAACAGTCTGACTTGGCTGCCTCTGGGGCTGCCCATGCTCCTTATCGAGGTGGCTGCATAGGAAAGTGAGGTGACTTGATCTCTGCAGGATGCGTTTTGTTTGGAGTCTCTTGTGCATCTGAGCCTGTCCCAGCTGGGGCGGGAGGCACTAGAGCTGGTGAGGGATCCCTCATCTGCCCTTCATCTGCCCTTCCCTGGGTGTCCTGCGTGTTCAGCCGGCTCTGGAGACATCGGAAGCCGCTGGACCTGAAGAGCTTGTCCATCAGTGGCCAGTAGGTGTGGAGGCTGGAGCTGGGAAAGGCACGTATATAATGCCATGTCCCAGGGATGTGCAGCACAGGGACGTGCCCTGTCTGGCTTAGCTTCCCAGCAAATGCAGCTGTCCCTGTGCTGCGAAATGCCCCCACAGGGTGTGCCATCCTGACCTGCTGTCCTTCAGGAGAATGTGACAGTGCCAGGGAGCACACACTCCTCGAGGCCTGGGTTTGCCTATGTTCAGGACCTTCTGTGAATGGCATGCTTGGAGAGGGACCTGGCTGGAGGCAGCATAGCTCGATCCCGATGGAATTTCAGTCCTGCTGCGCTTAAACTTTGCCTGGCCCTGCCAGAGAAGCCCTTGTGGGCAGGAGGCTGTGGGCACATAAGCTCAGCCATGGCCCTCAGTGTGGTTGGAGGCATGAGCAGTCTCTGTGGCTGTTGAGTGCAGCAGGGATGTGCTGGTGCCAGGGTCATTGTGTGCACCAAGTGGGCTCAGCGGAGCAGCCCCAGCCCCTTCTGGGCCCTTGCCCAGTTGCAGCCATGTGCTGCACAGTTCTGCCCCGCCCTGGACTATTTCTTGCTCTTCTGAGGCTGTTTCTGTTGTGAGCCTGCTCCCTTTTTGCTGTGGTGTCTGGAACCAAGTGGAGCAACATCTCTCTATTGTCATTACTGCCCTGGCAAACTTGGGCAGAGGTTTTCGTAGCCCAGCTCACCCTACCTGTTCAAGTAGGGTACTGGGTACCTTGGGGACGATGAAGGTCTTTTTCTTCTCCAGAGCCTCGTGGTGCTGGGCATGGAGAGGGCTCAGCACAGAGCTTTGCCTCTCCTTCCACCAGGTATCGCTCAAGGTGTTCCCACAGCTCCTCCTCCCGTTCCAGCTGTGGATCATGTGGCAGGTCCCGGGAGAGGTCGTCATCCTCATCATCAGTGTCCTCCTACACATCCAGATCCACGTCCCGCAGCCAGTCCCGCTCCCCCTCGCCCCACAGGAGGTTTAACAGGCGGAGAAGGTGAGCATGGCCACCTTACAAGGGTGTGAGCTTCCCCCCAACCCATCTGGCTTCCTGTGACCTGAGCAGGAGTGGATCTTCCCCCCCTCAGTGTCTCCCTTGTGTCTGAGGTCACTCTTTTCTGGCTCCGCCATGACCCTGTAGCTCACCTGTCTGGTTTCTGCCCTGCCAGATACAGTTACGACACACAGGACCACTACCAAAGGCAGAGGATCCTGCAGAAGGAACGTGCAATAGTGAGTGCTGGAGGGTTGGGAAGCTGGGGCTGGGGACCCCCAAGTCCCCAGCCCCTCCATCACATAAGAAACCTGTAGGGTCACAGCCTTGCAGGCAGCGTTGCTGGGAAGCTCTGGCTGGGGCACAGCGCGGTGGGTGGTGATACAGGGAGGGTGCTCTCTGCGACGGGTCCCGCTCACTGGGAGGGCTCAGAGATGTCAAGTCCCATCCCATCCCTTCCCATTCCCATCTCCCATCTAACCCGGACAACACATCCCTGCCCACAGGAGGAGCGACGAGTTGTGTTTATTGGCAAGATCCCCAGCAGGATGACACGGTCGGAGCTGCGACATCGCTTCTCTGTGTTCGGAGACATCGAAGAGTGCACCCTGCACTTCCGCTCTGAGGGGTAAGAGCTGTGGCGACGTGGGGTAGCCCCTTCCCAGGGATGGTTCCTCTTGGCTCTTTCCCCATTTCTCAAGGGGACAGCACAGACCAAGGGGCAACAAACATACTGCATTGTTGGTGATCTCCTTCCTTCTCTGGCACCAGGGACAACTATGGCTTTGTCACATACCGCTATGCCGAGGAAGCCTTTGCCGCCATTGAGAGCGGGCACAAGCTGCGGCGCCCGGACGAGCAGCCCTTTGACCTGTGCTTTGGTGGCCGCCGGCAGTTCTGTAGGAGGAACTACGCTGACCTGGGTGAGTTGTGCAGCCCCCGAGTTTGGGGGTGGCACCCTGAGTCCTCTCTCCTTCTCAGAGGTGTATGGGGTGAGTAAGGCTTGCCTGGGCAGGGCCATGTCCAGGGGTAGTCCTGCCCCAAGGGCAGCTTGGATGGGGCTGTGTTGGAGGCCAGATCTGGTCCTCCATCAGCCCAGCTCTGGGTCTGGAAGTTGGCACGTGAAGCAAGATGGGCATGAGTTGCTGTGGGGATGGCCAGAATGGTTCCAGTGTCCACATGGCTCAAGACAGCCTCTCCCCATGTCTTCCAGACTCAAACCGGGAGGATTTCGACCCAGCCCCTGTCAAGAGCAAGTTTGACTCCCTGGACTTCGACACATTGCTGCGGCAGGCACAGCGCAGCCTGCGGAGGTAGCGGCAGGCAAGGCGGAGCACCCGCCCCCACTTTTATACTCAAATACAAAAGACAAAAAAAGTATGGAGAGAGAGAAATGAGATTTTTAAGAAAAAGGAAAAGGAAAAAAAGAAATTTGTTTTATAACCAATATTTAAGGAGGACGGGTCATTTGCCTTTGACCAGAGGAGCCCAGGCGAGTGGCAGCCCCTGGCATGCCCCAGCCGTGTAATAAATGCGGATGCCCAAACAGCAGTGCTGCCTCGTCTCCTCCTTCCCGTGGGCTGTTCCCGGGCATGGGCTTGGGCTGTGCTCCCTCAGCACCCTGGGGGCTCTGTGCTAGGGTCTGGCCCCATGGGAGGT